TTACTAAATTTAATTTTAAAAGCGAAGTTATTAAAAGTGTATGACAATATATTGCACAGAAATTTGTACTCTTTATGTAGAGACAAACTTTATTAAGACCTAAACGTAGCATACAACACAAAGGCGAAGTTAGAAAAACTTGAGTTCACTTTTGTTTGGTTAAGATTTAAACAATCAATTTTACTGCGAACGACTGGAGCGTAACACAAAATAGATAACAACATAGTGCTTCGTAAGTTTTAAATGTCTACTGGATGAAAGAAAACATAAATACAAAAGAATGTGATGGATAAACCATAAATTGATAATAAATCATAACTTTACTTTAGGGAATTCCATTGTACTAAAGATGCTAAAATTAATCCCTTATCTTTCTAGCCTTACCTAGTTTGAAGAGAACCTCCCATCCTCTCCTAATTGCGTATATTATCATCGTTACTACAAATCTCAACACCACTAACTCCAATACTATTACACTGGGAAAACACACCAACTTCGATGATACGACACGTTTTTCGTGTTTAAAGGAGGCATCATCAAGAGAAATAACAGTAATAGTGCACGCAATTGAAGAAGAGTGGAAGGTGCTCTTTATAATAGGTTATGTACATAATTTTTCTATTTTTCGCTGACCTTAGTTAATTAATTTAAACCTCAAAGTTATCGCCTTTTCTGTGAAAAAATGAAATAAAGAAGGAGATAAGCTTTTAATTTAGCACTGAAGTTAAAGATTAATATTACCTTTACAACTGTTAACGCTTTCAAATTATATAGAATTCATCTAGAACGAAGCGTGGCTATTTATCGAACATTATTTTGTGCATTGGCATGCAGTATACATTGCTTGCAATTTACCATGTGGTTGCTGTAAAAGAATCTATCTCTCCATTTCTTACCGTAGAATTCATAAGATATGACTATGAAATATGGTAATAAGATCTCATGGCTTCCTATAGATGGCTGTATAACCATGTCGTTTGTGCCAGGGTTTAAGTACTCAGACAGACGAGAAGCAGCAACAAAAGTATGAAACATCTGGTATTGCATACTTCATAGAGCCGCGTTGCAGCAAAGTTGTGGTTGTAGCCTCAGACGAAATAAAAACTCTAGAGTTTTTATTTCGTCTGAGGTTGTAGCATGAATGGGTTGGCTCCACTAGGAAGGACCATGCTCTCACACAATACAAGCGTAAAATAGCAGTTTAATGCTGCTGTGTTTCGTATGATGAGTGTAAAGAACCGGGGACCCTTTTACTGGAAACGAAGCATTCCATCATATTCCTCAGCGGTGACAACGCATTTGCATTTTGATTCTTAATTAAGGATAAATGAAGATGTTTACAGGCCAGAGTTTCATCGTTTGTCACCCCATTCTATAAAAAAATATAAAAAATGGCAGTCGTCAATAGTAGCCTACCACGCGTGACGATTAAAGCAAATCGTTTTTAAAATGGGAAATGTCTACGTCTAGCATTGGACATTGCCTTGCTGATGATAAAGAAAAAGAAAAATATTCTAAGCCCGGGTATCTGGACTTGTATTCGAATTTATTAATACTGTACAGATAACGATATTATTCACATTACATAGATATGTTATGTCTCTGTTTTGTCTAAATTGGTCCTCGCATAACCTCTTTATATATTTATTTTTGCCGTGCCGTGTAGTGGCGGTTAAGAATATCCACCACCCCATATCTTCCCGTGGGTGTCGTAAAAGGCGACAGAGGGAAACAGGCAGGAGATGGGCAGCAGCATCTTCCTGATAATAGCAACTGTACGACAAAAAAAAAAAACTGCGGTTGCCAACCCGCTCGCCAAGCGTAGCAACTATGGCAATATACTCCCCATGAACAATTACACAAATAGACAGACCCCAGTCCCCGGTGGCCCCGCTATTCCTGGCTACGGTGGCGACCATGGTAACGGCGGGGCAGGGGGTGCTAAGAATCTCCGGTGGAGGTTCGGTTGCCACCTACGACGACTCGACCTGGCAACATTTAACGCACGCACACTGAGGACTGACGAGAAGATCCTGGAGCTAGAAGAAGAGATAGACAAGTTGCGCTGGAGTATTATAGGATTATCCGAGGTCCCAAGAGAGGGGGAGGACACGGTGATTCTCGAATCCGGCAACTTGTTCTATCACCGGGAGGGCGACCATCTGTCCCAAGGAGGTGTCGGATTTATCGTCCACAAATCTCTCGTCAGCAACGTTGTAAAGATTGGGAGTGTGTCGACGAGGGTCGCGTGCCTGATACTCAGAATCACCAAACGGTATTCGCTGAAGGCCATACAGGTTTACGCACCAACCTCGGCACATTCCGATGAGGAGGTGGAGGAAATGTATGAGGATATTTCCAAAGCCATGCATTCCTCCAAAACCCACTACACGGTGTTGATGGGAGACTTCAACGCAAAACTAGGCACAAAAGAAAACGGTGAGCTGAAGTTAGGGAAATTTGGAGTAGGGCAACGGAATCGAAGGGGCCAGCAGCTGGCCGACTTTATGGAGAAAGAGGGACTCTTTATGATGAACTCTTTCTTCCAGAAGCGGCCCCACAGGAAGTGGACCTGGTCGAGCCCCGACGGTTCGACAAAAAATGAGATTGACTTCGTTATGACGACCAGACGCCAACTGTTCAGTGATGTCTCAGTGATCGCAAGGGTGAAAACTGGCAGCGATCACCGAATGGTTAGAGGCACACTGAACCTAAACGTTAAGTTGGAGAGGTCTCGTCTAATGAAGTCAACGCTCCGTCCCCCTCGTGCTCTAATTCAAAATCCCGAAAACTTTCAGCTCGAGTTACACAACCGCTTTCAGTGCCTACAAGATTGCAATGCAGTGGACGATGTGAATGACAAGCTCGTGGAAACTGTCCATGCGGTCGGAGCTAAGTTCTGCAAGACCCGCCGCAGAAGAACACAAAAACTCTCCGATCACACTCTTAATCTCATGGCTGTTAGACGGGAGATGAGGCTGCAATCGTCAACAGATTTGACAGCATACTGGCAACTGAACAGACAGATCTCCAAATGCATGCGGCGAGACTTACGCAACTTTAATACTGCTCGTATTAAAGAAGCGGTCGAGCGGAACCAGGGCTCCAAAGTCTTTGCCAGAGATCTGTCTGCCCGTAAGAGCCAACTGTCAAGGCTGAAGACTGAGTGTGGCAGCATCGTTTCCGGGACACCTGAGATTTTGAGTGAGATTGAGAGGTTCTATGGGCAGCTGTACACATCATCGTTGGAGCCACACGCAAGTGTGAGTAACGATCCAAGAGCAAGTCTTATCCGACACTATTCCGATGATATCCCGGACGTCAGTCTAAGCGAGATTAGAATGGCTCTCCAGCACCTTAAAAACGGCAGGGCCCCAGGCGAGGATGGAATTACAGCGGAGCTTCTGAAAGCGGGTGGAACACCGGTACTTGAAGTCCTTCAGAAGCTCTTCAATTCCGTCCTCTATGGTGGCACTACTCCAGAGGCGTGGAGCAGAAGTGCGGTGGTCTTGTTCTTTAAGAAAGGCGACAACGCTCTCTTGAAGAACTACAGACCGATTTCCCTTCTGAGCTGCGTCTACGTGCTGTTTTCGAGAGTCATTACGAATCGTCTCGCACGCAGACTCGACGACTTCCAGCCTCCCGAACAAGCCGGTTTCCGAAAAGGCTTCAGTACCATAGACCACATACATACCCTGCGGCAGATTGTACAGAAGACTGAAGAGTACAATTTGCCACTTTGCCTGGCGTATGTGGACTATGAGAAAGCCTTTGATTCCGTCGAAATTTGGGCGGTGCTGCAGTCCCTTCAGCGGTGCCAAGTTGACTGTCGGTATATCGAAGTGCTGAAGTGTTTGTACAGTAGGGCTACGATGGCTATCCGAGTACAGAACCAGAGCTCGAAACCTATCCAACTGCAGAGAGGTGTAAGACAGGGTGACGTTATATCCCCGAAACTCTTCACTGCTGCTTTGGAAGACGTTTTCAAGCTACTGGACTGGAAAGGATACGGTATTAACATCAATGGCGAGTACATCACTCACCTTCGATTTGCCGACGATATAGTCCTTATGGCAGAATCGCTGGAGGACTTAAGCACTATGCTCAATGACCTCAATAGTGCCTCCCAACGGATAGGTCTTAAGATGAACATGGACAAAACAAAGATCATGTTTAATGTCCATGACACACCTATGCCGGTAGTTGTTGGGAGCACTATGCTCGAAGTTGTTGACGAGTACGTTTACCTGGGACAAATAGTCCGACTAGGTAAGTCCAACTTCGACCGAGAGGTCAATCGACGGATTCAACTCGGCTGGGCAGCGTTCGGGAAATTACGACACATCTTCTCGTCAGGTATACCTCAATCTCTGAAAACTAAAGTGTACAACCAGTGCGTGTTGCCAGTGATGACTTACGGATCAGAGACGTGGTCCTTCACTGCTGGCCGTATGAGGACGCTCAAGGTCGCTCAGCGAGCTATGGAGAGGGCTATGCTCGGAGTTTCTCTGCGTGATAGACTCAGAAATGAGGATATCCGCAGTAAAACCAGAGTGACCGACATAGCCCAACGGATTAGTAAGCTGAAGTGGCAATGGGCCGGCCATATAGCTCGAAGAACCGATAACCGATGGGGAAGAAAGGTTCTCGAGTGGCAGCCTCGTACCGGTAGGCGTAGTGTAGGGCGACCCCCCACTAGATGGAGTGACGACCTGGTAAGATATGCAGGTAAGTGGATGCAGGTGGCTCAGGACCGTGCTTTGTGGCATTACTTGGGGGAGGCCTATGTTCAGCAGTGGACTTGTGAGGGGCTGTGATGATGATGATGATGATATTTATTTTTAAAGATGTCAAGATTTTAAAAGAGACTTAAAATATGAATTTATTTTAAGATCGTATCCATATTTTTACAATGATAATGATTGTGGGTTACTATGCTATATATAAACAGAAATCCACTAAATTTTGTTTTTCATTTTGCACTCTGAGTCGGTACAAACATGTCACTACTACCAAGAAATGCTTTTGTCTTTATCGTAGTGATTATATACCTGGTGAACACTTGTAGAAGCATCAGTAAGAATCAAAGTAAGTTAACTTTGCTATTTTTTCACACCATTATTTTTAAGAAATTATTTTTCTTTTCAAAATATTTACTGAAAAGATTTTTGTCTAATTTGCTCATAACTTCATATTATTATGTTGTAAGTTGTACGAGCGCTATCAGTGTATCTTATAGCTTGATTTGTTAGAAAGCTCCTCAAAAATAAAATCCTCCTAAAATAAAAAAATATATAACTATTTTTTATTTCAGGCACAGAATCAAATTCGTAACAAAATGTGTTATAATAATGATTATGCCAAGCGATGATAGCTCTCTTTTTCACAGTACGTGAACAACCCGGATTTAATCCCCGCAGCAACAATGCAAGCAAATTGTTGATTAAAATTTTAAGTGCTGATTTACCACGATCCCCACGGTGGAGGAAAACATCTTTAAGATACCTTTAAAATAAAAATAAATATTTTATAAACGTGACGTCCCACAACACTCATAGCGACATCTTTGTTCTAAAACCCTCTCTGAAACGAGAAAAAAACTGTGACCAGCAGTAGAATGAATATACAGGGTTATTTTTAAAAGTGTAGCCAAATTTTAACCTTAATGATTTCTTATATTTACCGAAACGCTACACATTTAAATAAAATTTTTTATATTCCCGACGTTTCGAGCACTTTACCTTACAGCACTCATGGTTATGGGGGAACTGAGTTAAAAACTAGTTTTAAACTTAAGTTCAGATATATAAATAATAATATACCGTTATTGCAGTTTTTAAAAATACAAGTAAATAAGGGTTATAATTTTATTTGAAATTATCCCAAATTGAATGTGATTTATGGGCAACATCGTTTTTGCCTACCGATCGACCCTTATGAATGTGTGCGTGCGCAGTAAAATCAGTTAAAGTAATGCATTACCACACATTTTAAATTTAAGAGATAAAAAGGCAGACAGTTTGAGATTTTTTTAATTAATTTTTCTTCACAATTCGCCTATATTACTTGTTCTAAACCTTCTCTGCAAATTTGGCTGGTTATTGCAAAGTAACCCTGTATACATGCTGTAACTATAATATAATATTGCATCGAGGGCCTGTTCAAAAACCTAAATGTGCTAAAGAATTAAAAATAAAAATAACATGAGCAAATAAAATTCATTATTTCAATTTAATCTATTACGTGTTAGAGCCATTCTGACCAAGATAGCTGCAGTTCGAATGGGTCGGTTCAACCAGGGTCGGACCACACCTCAAAAATTCCAGCATTAAATAGCAGAATTATGCTGCTGTATTTCATATGGTGAGTGAAGAGAACCGGAGTGTTTTTACTGGTAAGGGGACATTACATGTTAGTCCCCAGGGGTGACAACATATCTGCAGTTTTATTCTGAATTGATGATATATATCAATTGGTCATAGCATCCACTTACCTTTGTGGACTGTGTGCTCGTTTGTTACCCATATTTTATAAGAAAATAAACAAAAGAGTTTTTTTCTAATATTTTAAGAAGTTTGCACTTTGAACAGTTCAGAATTGATTTACCTATCAGTTTATTTTTTTTTTAATTTTTCAAATTTGGTGCAAATTAGTTAAAGTTTTGAGGAAACTAACGTCAAACTTCAACTAAATTTCTTTCCTTATCTGCTAAAGGTCGGCTTTCCCATTACTTTTAATTCATTGTTATCTTCCTAAATGTTTAGTCTTCCTCGTGATTTATTCTTCAAACCTAAGTTTCTACTACGAAAAACATCAACATAAAAAACGCAGAGGTAGTCATATTCTTTGCAAACGCAGCACTGATATTGCGAGTTTTATATTGTGCTGGGTTAGAATCATGTTAGAACTTGGATTCGTTATTTAATCTAATTTTTGAGGTCTCCGTAAGGTCAATACTGAATATAAACCCAATTAATAGTCAAACAATACTCGTATAATTTCACAAATATTTTTGATTCGGTAAGTTATAATTTTTGTATAAAAAATGCCACGAAACTTGAACGGTGCATATAAAACAGTAACTTTACACTTTAACCTATATTTCTAACTCATACTTATTCACATCGTTTCAAAAACACTTTGTTTCAGAAATTGTCATATCCAAATCTTTTAACGCTCTTCTTGTCTCGCATTTCATTTGCCTTTATTATCTATTATTTAGTGTTTTATTATTATTTACAGATATACGTATTGCTGACCCTAATTTAAATAAGCTTTGTGAATCTTATTCGCGGCATGCCTACTCAAGGGGTCACAAAGTGAGTATTTCGATTTTTTATATTTTGATTAAAACGTTTGAACAAATATATATTTTAGGCGGTTGTGTATTGGCGGGATAGAATCTATCTCTCCATTTTGTGAGTTTCTGTAAGAGCCGACTGTAGAAAATTCCGGAACATCTAAGGCTTCGGATTGATGTGGGTATAGCTATATATTTATTCCCGACAAATAAAACATAGTCTGACGACGGAGATCAGCGGAAAAATGCGAGATTTTTATTACTGTGTTTATCAATCCTCCCTAATAAGGGAGAGGTCCATGCCCAGCTAGAATTTTAAGAGGATTTTTTGAACTTTAACCCAAAATATCGCAGCAAGCAGTGTACTTTGCTTTTGGACAAGGCTCTGAGACCGAACGTTTTACGGCAGAAATCCTAAAATACTAAACACAAATAATATTGACTAGTTTTAAGGCCAATTATGGACGCTATCAAGCATAAAGCGTACACTTTTTTCAAAGAATTCATAGTTTTTAATGCTTAGGTATTGAATTAAAAATGTTATTTCACCCTTGGTATTAATGTAGTTGCCGTGTAGTAGCGGTTGAGAATATCCACTACTCCATATCTTCCCGTAGGTGCCGTAAGAGGCGACAGAGGGAGACAGGCAGGAGATGGGCAGCAGCATCTTCCTAATAACAAAAATAATATAATAAAAAACTGCGGGTGCCAACCCGCTCGCCAAGCGTGGCAACTATGTCAAATATCCCCTCATGAGTAACGACGCAAACAAATGGCCTCCAGCCCCGGTGGCCCCGCTATTCCTGGCTACGGTGGCGACCATGGTAACGGAGGGGCAGAGGTTGCTAAGAATCTCCGTTGGAGGTTCGGTTGCCACCTACGACGACTCGACCTGGCAACTTATAACGCACGCATCTTGAGGACTGACGAGAAGATACTGGAGTTGGAAGAAGAGGTAGAAAAGTTGCGCTGGCATATTATTGGATTATCCGAGGTCCAAACAGAGGGGGAGGACACGGTAATCCTCGAGATCGGCAACTTGTTCTATCACCGGGAGGTCGACCATCTGTCCCAAGGAGGTGTCGGATTTATCGTCCACAAGTCTCGCGTCAACAACGTTGTAAAGATTGGGAGTGTGTCGACGAGGGTCGCGTACCTGATACTCAGAATCACCAAACGGTATTTGCTGAAGGTCATACAGGTTTATGCACCAACCTAAGCACATCCCGATGAGGAGGAGGAGGAAATGTATAACACAGTGTTGATGAGAGACTTCAACGTAAAACTAGGCACAAGAGAAAGCGGTGAGCTAAAGTTAGGGAAATTTGAAGTACGGCAACGGAACCGTAGGGGCCAGTAGCTGGCCGACTTTATGGAGAAAGAGGGACTCTTTATGATGAACTCTTTCCTCCAGAAGCGGCCCCACAGGAAGTGGACCTGGTCGAGCCCCGACGATTCGACAAAAATGAGATTGACTTCATTATGATGACCAGACGCCAACTGTTCAGTGATGTCTGGTGTGATGAATGGTTAAAATCACACTGAACCTAAACGTTAAGTTGGAGAGGTCTCGTCTAATGAAGTCAACGCTCCGTCCCCTTGTGCTCTAATCCAGAATCCCTAAACCTTTCAGCTCGAGTCACGTAACCGCTTTCAGTGCCTAGAAGATTGTAATGCAGTGGACGATATGAATGACAAGCTCGTGGAAACTGTCCATGCGGTCGGAGCTAAGTTCTGCAAGACCGACCGCAGAAGAACACAAAAACTCTCCGATCACACTCTTAATCTCATGGCTGTTAGACGGGAGATGAGGCTGCAATCGTCAACAGATTTCACAGCATAGAGGCAACTAGACTTACGCAAATTTAATACTGCTCGTATTGAAGAAGCGATTGAGCGGAACCAGGGCTCCAAAGTCTTTGCCAGAGATCTGTCTGACCGTAAGAGCCAACTGTCAAAGCTGAAGACCGAGTGTGGCAGCATCGCTTCTGGGACACCTGAGATTCTGAGTGAGATTGAGAGGTTCTATGGGCAGCTGTACACATCATCGTTGGAGCCACATGCAGATGTGAGTAACGATCCAAGAGCAAGTCTTATCCGACACTATTCCGATGATATCCCGGACGTCTGAGCGGGAATAGAATGGCTCTCCAGCACCTTAAAAAAGGCAAGTCCCCGAGCGAGGATGGAATTAGAGCGGAACTTCTGAAAGCGGGTAGAAAACCGGTACTTGAAGTCCTTCAGAGGCTCTTTAATTCCGTCCTCCGTGGTGGCACTACTCCGGAGGCGTGGAGCAGAAGTGCGATGGTCTTGTTCTTCAAGAAAGGTGACAACGCCCTCTTGAAGAACTACAGACCGATATCCCTTCCGAGCTGCGTCTACGTGCTGTATTCGGGAGTCATTACGAATCGTCTCGCACGCAGATTCGACGACTTTCAGCCTCCCGAATAAGCCGGTTTCTGAAAAGGCTTTAGTACCATAGACCACATGCATACCCTTCGGCAAATTGTACAGAAGTCTGAAGAGTACAATCTGCCACTTTGCCTGGCGTATGTGGACTATGAGAAAGCTTTTGAATCCGTCGAAATTTGGGCGTTGCTACAGTCTCTTCAGCGGTGCCAAGTTGACTGTCGGTATATCAACGTACTGAAGTGTTTATACAGTAGGGCTACGATGGATATCCGAGTACAGAACCGTATCAAACTGCAGAGAGGTGTAAGACAGTGTGACGTTATATCCCCGAAACTCTTCACCGCTGCGTTGGAAGACGTTTTCAAGCTACTGGACTGGAAAGGATACGGTATTAACATCAATGGCGAGTACATCACTTGCTGGAGGACTTAAGCACTATGGTCAATGACCTCAATAGTGCCTCCCAACGGATAGGTCTTAAGATGACCATGGACAAAACAAAGATCATGTTTAATGTTCATGTCACACCTATGCCGGTAGTTGTTGGGAGCACTAAGCTCGAAGTTGTTGACGAGTACGTTTACCTGGGATTGGTAGTCCGAATAGGTAAGTCCAACTTTGATCGAGAGGTTAATCGACGGATTCAACTCGGCTGGGCAGCATTCGAGAAATTACGACATATCTTCTCGTCAGGTATACCTCAAAACCTGAAAACTAAGTTGTACAACCAGTGCGTGTTGCCCTTGACGACTAACGGAACCGAGACGTGGTCCTTCACTGCTGGTCGTATGAGGATGCTCAAAGTCGCTCAGCGAGCTATGGAAAGGGCTATGCTCGGAGTTTCTCTGCGCGATAAACTTATAAATGAGGATATCCGCAGTAGAACCAGAGTGACCGACATAGCCCAACGGATTAGTAAGCTAAAGTGGCAATGGGCCGGCCTTATAGCTCGAAGAACCGACAACCGTTGGGGAAAAAAGGTTCTCGAGTGGCAGCCTCGTACCGGAAGTCGATGGATGCAGGTGACTCAGAACCGTGCTTTGTGGCATACCTTAAGGGTTGTGAAGGGCTGTAATGATGATGATGATGATAAATGTTGTTTGTCTGGTGAAATTTGATGTAATTTTTAATTAAAAAATCTTTAATATATGAAATTAGTAGGTTCAAACAATTAAGAAATAAATGGATATTAATTTAAGCTTTAAGCTAAAAAGCAGACTTTAAGGTGTCGAAACAACTTTAATACGGTACTAGGTATATTTTTTTATTTTATACATAATTAAATATATTGATAACAGTAACTTTGGCCGTGTAGTAGCGGCATAAAAGGAATCCATTACCCTTACGTATGCCTTATGGATGTCATAAGAGAAAAAATCTCATAGAGTTCTTGTGGCTTCCGAATGGTGGCGGTATTACCACTTAAAATTAACAGCATAACTCTGCTATGACGTAAACATTGGATATAATGCGAATCAAAACTCGTATCACGATCAACGAGATATCTATTTCATTATATCTACTGCGCACGTATGCGGTTCCAGAATCGATTAGAAAGGAAGCTAACATTCGTATAAATAGATTACCCGTTGATTTTAAAATCTCGATATACTGTGGTTATAATTGTATCGGTTTCATTACATCAAAGGTTCGAGATGCGATGTCACCTCAAAAGATACGTGGTAGAGTCATGCTGCAGCTACATTATAGTTGTAGCACGAGTGAGTCGTTTCGACTTGGGAAGGATGACGCCCTTACAGAATACCCTTTTTACTGGAAATGAGGCATTCCATGTTAGTCCTCAGGAATGAAAACATATCCGCGTTTGATTCTTAATTGAGGATAAATGTAGATATGTTTATGGGCCACAGCGTCCACTTACCATCAGGGTTTTTGTCGTATCAATTTATATCACATTAACGCTAATTTGGTTGCTGTACTAGCATTATTTATTCTGCTTCTGCAAGATAGCTGTATAACCACTTCGTTTGCGCCCGGTATAGAATGTCCAGATCGGTGACGAATTGCAGCGGCTTAGGTGCAGGAGAATAGTACGTGATGACAACGGCAAATTCTCTCTATATTGAGATAGATTAACGAACAATATAAAGCTAATAGTAAGATACTACAAGACCCACGATGTCATTTATTATTAAGTCGATTCGTCTTACTACAAAACGCGGTATATGATAGTCACAATGATAGTCACGGGCTTAGAATATTTCTAAAGAAGTCGTCACTTCTAGCAGCGACCTATTGCGAGATGACGAAAGAGATGAATTTGACCACACCCGCAGGTGATATTGGAATGTGTTATACATAATAAATATAGGTCTGCTCACACAGAATACCAGCTTGAAATAATCATGCTGCTGTATTTCATATGGTGAGTAAAGACAAAAGCAAACACTTTTTGACTGGTAGCAAGGCATTCCATGTTAGTCTTCAGAGGTGACGATGCATTATTTGTTGTTTAACGTCGAACGGCCTGTGAGTTAGGTCGTCACACTTACTTGTATGAAAACTCTTAACCCCTAAAAACTTCATTTTTAACATATCAGTACTCTAATATAGACTTTACCCTTTTCAGTTCATATGTTTGGTTTGCAAAGGGTTTGATATTTCATGTTTCTCAACTACCAAACCCGTTACGACGACGACTACCACCACTACTGCCAAGACGACTCTTCCGTCTTCCGTTAGGCCGACAATTTCCGAATTACCCCAATTCACTACAACAACTAAAGCTCCTGAACCTGAAGAGTAATTAAAGATACTGTCAAACACTATAATTTTTAAATATAACTTTTTAATCAACAAAAAAATTGTTTTATTGCTTACTTCATAAACAGCAAATTTGATTATTTTGTGCTAATTAGATACAATTAAATGTAAAACGAAACCAGGAAAGTAATTAATAACGTATAGCTGGATTAAACACATAATAGCTTTAGTATAAATTCAAGCTATAAATTCGACCTCCATCGTAATTAAAAAGTTAGACAAGACTGAAATCCTCTTTTCTAATTAAATGTATGTAAAAAATAGACAAAAAATTTAAGAAATTTTACAAAATAATGCTATCCACTTCGATGATGAATAAAGGTACTATTAAGGATAATAGTTAATTAACTACTGGATAATCTTACACCGATTTTGTAAGTACTATGAACTGTAACAATAAAGTTATTGTATATTATGAAAATTATATTGTTCAATAAAATCATCAATGTAAAAATATACATGAGTTACTAACATTAAGAAAAAAAATCCTGTAAAATTTTAATGACTGGAACAAGCAAAAAAATGGTATTAGGTGCCTTTATTATTTTTTATTTTCTTTGGTTAAGTTGTTGATCTAGGTTAAAAGTATAAATTGTTATAAGTATTCATTTGTTAAGTATAAATAATTATATAATTTAAATAAACCTGTCAAGTGTGAATTAATGGTTCCGTATAAGTTTAAATACTTATGTAAATATTTAATCCATTCTGGGAATTATAATTAAGGTAAGATTCGACTTAACAATGATTGTAGTTTCTTACGAAAAGCTAAATCAGTTTGAAGGACAAACTTAACTATGCAGTGAGAATAAATTATATGCCATACATCCCTCTATATAACAGTCGAATATAAAGTAAAGTAAAGTTAAAGTTACAGCCTATATACGTCCCACTGCTGGGCAAAAGCCTTCTCTCATTTCTGAGAGGGTTTTAGGGCAAGAAAGTGTCCGCCGCGCTGCCCCAATGCGTGTTGGCGAACTTCACATGTCTTCGAAATATTTTATTTTTATTTCTCAGACGTACAGGTTTCCTCACGATGTTTTCCTTCACCGCCGAGCACGTGGTGAATCAACACTTAAAATTGCAATTAACAATTTCATTAGTGCCGGAGGGGCTCGAACCCGGTTTGCTCGCGTACTGTGAAATTTACAGCGAGCGCTAACCATCTGAGCTATCACGACTCTCGACTACAGTCTACAGTCGAATATAAGTTAATTGGAAATATAACAGAAAAATACAAACAAAAATAATTTTATGATACTATTGCAAATTCAACCGAACATCTTTATATGTAATATGATTTGATACTTGAATATTTCACTTCATCTTGAAAGCCATTCCTCTCCGTTTCTGAGAAAAATGGGTGGACAAACGGACTACAAAGAGATCCTACAAGTGTCCCACTGTTTTCCTTTTGAGGTACGGGACGTTAAACACGTTGAATAATTATCATAAATTAAAAATTTCGTTAAAAAGAAAGATCCCTTTGCATTTGCGGCAGGCCATGAAGAACCTTTTTTTTGTATGACATACATACTCAGCAGTTTTAATTTATAATGAAAAGCCGCTTATTTAAGATTAAAAATACGAAAATCTATCTAAAGTGAATAATCAAGTTCTGTTGAAAAATGGATCCGTAAAGTTTTCGCGCGATTATTTATTAACGATTTCAAAAGTCATCTGAGACCATACGAATTATTGATAGTCTTCTAACGCAATTAGTGGATAAAAGCCTTCTAATTTAACCATTTACTACAGATATAACAATTTTCAAAACGGAACAGCACTCAAAACGGGACACTTTTCAAACTTTGTACTTGTGGAGAGTTCTTTGAAAAGATTTAATGAAATAAGAACTTAAAACTTTCTGCTTACGTTTGGAAAAAATATAGAAAAATAATGTAGTTAACATTTTAAAACAAGAAGTTAAACAAAATGCTATTAAAAATATATTAAGCATTTATTAATATAATTTATTACGGCATTAAATATACATTTTAAAACTTTGTTTATCAACACATTTCGATCTACAGGTACATTCATATAATTTTTTACTGATTCGTAAAATTACAAGCATAATAATATAAAACATTTGCTGCGTACACATAAGCGATCTTAGTATGGTTAGTTTATTTTAATATGATATGATAAAATAATCATCATCGTTACATCCCTTCACAAGTTCTACATACACCACAAGGAATGCCACAAAGCATAATCCTTAACCAGCACCCAATAAGTTACTTAATCAATAAAAAAGTATTATAGATTAATAATAAAACAAATTATTCCTAAGACGCCATCTCGTGTCATGAAATATAGACATAAAATTAATATGTTTAGATGCGACATTTCTGTGGGTACTTAAGTATAGGACGAATTTATATTACTATACACATTTTTTTTGTAGAAACATATATAAGTTATTATAATCAGGCATAATTTTTCATGTTTGAATCTGCTTATTATTCTTTTATTTTATTTTTATGTTTCCACATCAAAGTAAAAGTGGTAAAAATTCATCCATTTTTAGTAAGCTCTGACAGCGCGCGACATGTTATACTCCCGTTCGCTCGGGATCTTAATGGCGGGAAAATTTGTAAGTTAGAAAATTTTTTGCTACATTGCAAATTTTGCTATATTTTCACTTTGAGACAATATTTATGAATAAAACTTACAGGAATTCTTGTTGAATGTATAAACTATCGAATAAAATTATTTTTGGTCGCTATAAATTGTAATAAAATACATAAATTACCCTGTATAGCATAGTAGTAGTATATACTTCAATTTTAGTTACAAAATTACTACTAATTTGAATTCTACACTTTTGTTTTTGGAGAAATTTATATGAAAATGTTTGGAAATATGTATATTTTTATGTTTTATGTGTTTCTATTCGTTACTCATACCAAAATATTAAAATATTAAAAAAATAATAATGTTTTATCTGTATGACATTTCGAACAATATTTCAAAAATAGTTTTGTGTGAATTTGAAATAAATACAACGTCAAGTTATTTGAAATATGTAAGAAAACTATTTTTACTTACATTTTACACTAAAAAAAATGAGAATTTGAAAAATAACACATTTATGACCCAACCGCCAAAATGGGCCTTCCGGATTTTGAAGTACTTTTGGCAATTTACTTTTCACTTTTTTATACCACAAATTATATATTACTAAAAGTATAATACTTTCGTTTTTAGTCCAGACACAAATACAAAATTCTATAAAAAAAGACGGAGCACCTTTATCAAAGCGACACGTGGAACGCCGAAAGTTCAGAGTGATTTTTTTTTCCTAAGAAACATTGCCAGGTTATGGTTTAAAATAAAAGAGCATATCTTTGTCTTTGATACTATTATCTATTGCATATTGTCTTTGGTTTTGTTTAAAACGAAAAAATAGTTTAAAAAAATAGTTCATAGGGCAGTACTTCTGATCTAATCCGACCCGTACTAGAGCCGACGTATGATCTGATCAGACCCGTAGCCGAGTGAACGGGATGTTTAGATGCGACATTTCTGTGGGTACTTAAGTATAGGACGAATTTATATTACTATACACATTTAATTTTGTAGAAACATATATAAGTTATTATAATCAGGCATAATTTTTCATGTTTGAATCTGCTTATTATTCTTTTATTTTATTTTTATGTTTCCACATCAAAGTAAAAGTGGTAAAAATTCATCCATTTTTAACTCTCGCGTGCCCAGCATTTATGAACGACTCTTATTCTAATTTAAATAAATATATTTGTAATTTAAATGTTATGTTAACAAGTTTTGTTAAACATACATTTAGTATGTTTTTTATATTTTACATAGTTTTGACCTTTTAAAATATTCAGATATAAATATCATTAAAATGTAATTGTTATGTAATATTATGTAATATTATATTAAATAAGCAAATATGATACATAAAATAAATGACAAAATTTAAATATTGTTCTGGATATAATTTACCTATTTAACAATACAATCTACTATTACCTACGGGTCATTCTACCTATGTTTATTCTACGATAAAAAACCGACCGCGCGAACACAGAGTAGCGCACATTTTTTGTTTGAGATAGCTGTTCTAGTACGTAAGTACATATTACTTCAATGGTAAGAGGCAAGAGAAGAAAACAGGCAGGAGATAGGCAGCAGCATCTCCGTGATTCATGAATTGAGGATTGACTACAAAAAAATTGACCTATTTGAGAAAGTCTGGCTATACAAAAAAGCTCAATATTTGGGTACCACACGAGCTCACTGAAAGAAACCTAATGAATCGTGTACTTATTTGCGATTCTCTATTGAAACAATAAAACCGAAGAATTTTTGAAGAAATTGAACACTGGTCGTAAAAGTGGATCACCTATGAAAAGAAAATGCTATAAGATCATGTTAAAAGGGTAGTAAAGCTCCACAGGCTGTTGTGAAACCCGGATTAACATGCAATAAGATGATGCTGTGTCTATGGTAAGATTGGAAGTGAATCGTTTATTATAAGATTTTATCGCTGGGCAAAACCATCGATTTGTATCTCTTCTGGCAACACTTAATGAGACTCAAGTAAGAAATTCAGAAAAAAAAAAGCCGGAATTATATAACAGAAAAGGAGTGATCTTTCATTATTATAACGCCAGTCCACACGCATCTTAGGTCCCTCAGCAAAAATTGAGGGAGCTTGGTTGGGAAGTGTTAAAGCATCCACCATTTAGTCCTAACGATAGCGATGCAGGTAAAAGTTTAAGGTTGCACCCTTAAACTTTTACCTGCATCGCTTTCTTCGGAATTATTTGAGTAGTGTTTGGATTTATTTTTAAGAGAGGGTTGTCAAAGCTAACAAAATGGTACATACATATCATAATTAATCTTAGAAAAAAAAGTCTTGAATTTGTGTATAAAATACGAAGAAACTTTTTCACCGACCTTATACATGAAGTATAAAACTATATACAATAATAATAAAACCTTAAT